TTGCGAATTCAGCCTGGCCGGTGGCGGGGCACTAGCAAGCTGCGCCGTCAAAGCAACCATTGTTCCGAATCAGTTTTTATGCCAAGCCAATCATATCCAAGGCACACCGTCGTCACGGAAATCACAACAAGGGATCGTATCCGGCCGCGAAGGAGGGGAGGGTCATGAGAGTACGGCTCTTTGGAAAGTGGGAACAGGGCACATTATTGGTTGGTGATTTTGGTCAGTCCCGGCCCCCTCCCTCTCACGGGGTGGCTTGGAGCTCCGTGGCTACTACTCCATCTGCCTGCGTCAGGACTGTGTCGTACCGGGGACCACTTAACCACTTTGCTGATGCTATCTGAACACTGGTGAACCCTGCTGAGAAATTGTCAAACAAAACAACTTCAAAGCAGTCCTATTCATCTTATTAGACTTACAGACCGGGAACAGAAATATAAGATGAAAGACGGTTGAACCTTAATATCAATGGAATCTTGGATGAACTCTTTCTATAAATTACAATAAAAAAAGTTGAGTTTCGTAGTGATATGCAATCTTCATGCATTGTCCTTCAGCGTACCAGTAATTATCCAATAACCACCTCGCGTTTGTTATAACGAAGAATTGTTCGAAATCTTCTTTGTGAGACCAATGTGAAAATGGAATCTGGATACCAATACGAGTCGGTCAGAATTTTGGTGTAAAGTGAAACTTGTCCCCAAAGGGGAGAAAGTTCCACACGAGTCTTGTTCGCTAACACTCCGGTCACGAAAACGTCATCGATCTGAAAAAAGTCTTTTTATTTATTGATTTGCTGCACTCTGGGTGCGCTCAAAACTGACAGGGCAGTAAATATTGTTAGTAGCAACTCAACCGTAATTGAAAAAAAGAAAAAGCAAAATAAAACAAACAAAAAAAGACAGCAATCTACGGCCAGAAACTCAAAAACTCAGCTCAAAAACGCAAAACTCAATAACTCAAAAAAAACCAGTAGAACCAGTAGAAACAGTAGAACCCACTTGCCTACCCTTGCGGCGAACCGTAAACCTTATGTTGAATCACTAGTCAACTAAAGCAGGAAAGAGCCAGCACAGTATCTAGTTGGCCATTGCTATTTGACTTAAGTCCTCGAGTGAATTTGGGAGTCAGTTTGCCAGTGCCTGTGCCAGTCACCAACGACTACTCATAGAAAAACAATATACGGTTCAGGTAGTCTGTGGTTTGAGAAGTAGATTCGGAAGATGGCAGGTGCGCGGTCAGTCTGGGCAACGCAACTAACTAACGTTATTCCCGGGCGGGCCAAGATAGCTACCTCTTTGATCTAAACACGAACCCAGGGCGTAAGACCCAGACCCAAGTATTTGAAAATAAATACTTGTTGACCTGCACCAGGAAGAATGAAAAGAAAGCGAATCAGGCTGCTGTCAATGGGACGGGTATTGTGTGGGAGAAGGCAGGAGGCAGTTCATCGAAACGATTATTATCAAGCCTTTGGCCGGACTAGAAACTGACGGCAGTCGAAAAACAAGAAAAGGTTATGGAAGGATTACTTTGCTACCAAAGATAGGCAAGCGGCCGGGTATTGTGACGAACTTAGAAGAGCAGCAAATGTGTTGTGTTGTGTTTTTACCTCTCAATAGTGAAACCGGTTGCGTATTCTTATGGGAGTTAGACTTGGATTTTTTTTTTTCTTAAAATTCGACTTGAAAATCCAGCATTCAATTGAAGACACATTCCGCAGCAAGCGCATGGGAAGGGACCTATTGCCAGTGTTCCTTAATCATTTGTGCCCCAGCCCCACCTCCTCATGATAGAGCGATATCCTGATACAGTAGAAAGAGAAAGGCGAAACGTCAAAACGAAGATTCACAGTCACCCCTACATCATTGCCGTCGGGAGGGAATTATGTTTCATCTTTTAGCAAAATTTCCCAATGCTCTAAACTGTCGCCTAGTATACCAAGAAACTCTGTATAAGCGAAAAATACCTGGATCAAGCGAATTATCGTTCTCGACGGTTTCAGTGTATTCTTCAACTTCAAACCAGCAATGGTAAGAGGATTACTCGTATTAGATCTTCTCATTCAAACACATATGGGGCACTGACGGGAAAATAGAGGAACTACAGCTGAAACTCTAGATCGCTTGGAAGCTGGCGAATCTAGCCACATGTCCGTAAAATCGGCCCACCCAGCCACAGAAGGAAAACCCAAGAAAATGAAAAGAACTGAGTGGCAAAAACCAGGGCTGGATTATAGATTTGGGTGCCTTACGAGAAAAAGTGCGGTGCTTAAATGAATCCTGTGATGGAGCGGTGATTGCACAGAATGGTGTTTTCAAATAGGAAAGGAAGAGTTCGGTTCAAGTCTAGAGAAAGGATAGTGAAAAAATTCGGGAGCCCATAGTATTCATCATACAAGAAACAAAGAAAAAAAAAAGAAAACAAGAACAAGAAGAGAAGAGAACAAGAAAAGCGGGTGGAGAAAGTCAAGCGCAGAATGTATGATCAAAGAGATGGATCGTTGTCATATTTCAAATGAGAAAGCGAGACTGCCGTTCCTGTTCCAACTAATAACCGAGTTACGCCCGAAAAGTTGAGAATGGTCAAGAGGGTGTGTGCCTCATTCTCTTATAGGAGCAGGAGCGTAGAACCGATTCGATGCTCGTAGCAGCAGTATTCTCCGCCTATGGCGTCCTTCACGACTGGAAAACGAGGCGAAATATGGGTGGTCCTGTACTCCAGGCCCAATCTCGCAAGCGTTGGCGTTGAATGCAGATAAGAAGCCGCCCGAATTCTGTCATGAAAAGTTACGTATACTTAAGCGGATAATTACAGTGGCAACAGATTCTACATTGTGGCTTTTACGAGGCTCTATCCGAGATACAAGACTGTCATTGCCTGGGTACATGTCTGAAGCATTTCTCATATTGAATTGACACTTTTGCACATAACAGAGTTCAATCGATCATTCCCCTGTCTTGAGCGGTTTACATTTGAAGGCAATTGGCACGGTAAGACGAGTAGGATCAATACGCCTTTAACAACGGAATCCTTGAGAAGGCGCTGCGCAGCGCCTTCTCCAAAGAAGGTACCTAAGGCCCCAAAAGTTGCAGCATACTGACGCGGCCGCACACGGGGCCCGCCCGCCCACAAATGACGGCCGTACCTGGTGCTCGCATTGCTTTATCCAAGTAAAACTTGAAGCGAAGGGTTTGCTATGAAGCGACCGCGGTGCTGCATAGATATATAAGTACACTCGAGATCCCTGAGAGCGGTGGGCGTGGCTGCATACCTGAATTGGTCGTGGCGGCGGCTGAGCTTTCGCTGAGATGTTTCCATGTTCGGGCAATTGTATCATTAACGGGCGCAGTTTGTCGACGGGGGGGGGCATTTTGCTTTCCATAGATGTGTCGACCCATCTAGGCAGCCGTTTCTCGAGTTGACACGTTTTAGGATAGTGGCTAGACGATCTTACTTCAGCTTCACAAGAGTTCACAAGTTTTACCAGAGTGAGATTTGTAAACCGGAACTAGGGAAGCAATGATAATACAAAATGCCCCCCCCCCCGTCGACAAACAGCGCCATCATTAACCTTTATCCAACACTGAACAAGATGATAGTGTCTCGAATAGAAATATCTCACTAGTGACCCATCCTATGCCATGCTCAAATGCCACGCCTACTCTGTCTCAGGGAAAAGGCGTTTACATACGTGCAGCCGTACCTACCGTGGCGTTTATTGACAAGATGTCTACGGGAAACTCGTCCAAACCTACTCTTTGAGTTCTTGAGGGAAGGACTTTCTTCGCAGCTTTTTGACCGTTTCACTTCGTTTTTTCGCCGTTTTCCCACTATATAATGCCCTGCTAGCATTTTAGTAGACCGAGTACCAAATTATCGAGCCATATGCCTTCAAGAGTGCTGACAACAACATTTTCAACATAGAAAACAATGGAGGGTTGTAACAATGCATGCTAACTCAAAATAGAATATGCAGGGTACAAGCTACTTGAATTGCGAAGAGATACAAGAGTCTGTGCACTATAGGAAGTGAGTCTGATGAGCACAGGAAAACAAGACTACACCCTTTCGGGAGATAGCTAACTGCGAACGCAGCCTTCCCTTTTCTCCAACGTAGGCCAATCGTTCACCAAGAAACGCCAGCCTTGTCGTGACCACGCATACGTACACGTCACAATACCCTCACGAAACTGAGATCAGCTTACTAAAGAAAACCAAAGCAGTGAAGTCCCAGCGCACTTCTGAGAAACTTCAGAAGCTCAGAATTCGAAGTTCTAAAAAATACTGGGGTGCGTGCACTTAGATACCCGGGTGGGCGTGGCCACAGGGGCAAGGCTTCGAAATGGACCGGTGTTTCCCAAATTTGTGCTGCAATAGATATTAGACGGGAGCACCGTTTACAAGGTAAACGTTCCTATTGTCTTCAAGGTGTGCTTAATGTTGATTTCATGATCATACGTAAGACCTGATAACCACTTTTTCGCCTCTGCCTAATGTATACCTTTGCAAAAAGCATAAATTCCAATCTAAGTTAATTCTTCCTCTCGGAACTTCTTAGTTCAAGCAGTAGAAACACACAGCTGTTTAATAAGAAGGAAATTATCGTCTCCAAGCTCAGGAAGAAGCGCTGAAGCCTAATTATATCCGTCCACGTCAAGCCCTCGCCCTATTTTGGCCACGCCCACCGGGTATCTAAGTCACGTAGCCAAATACTGTTCAAAAAGCGAGAAAAGGAATTCGCTGTTCCAAAAATAATGGAATGGTAACAGTATTATTACGAGATAAGGTCTTACCCAGAGAAACCGTTCCTCACTAGTAGCCTCGAGTATGAACCAAAAAGCCTTTCGTGGCATCACGTAAGCGAATCCAAGGCAATGCGGCGGGAAATATTCTCCGCTGTACTCTTCTTCTGTGACATGCCTGAGGAAAGTGGTTGCTCTTATGTAAGAGGTAGTGGATGTAAAGAATAGAAGGCAAGGGTCACCGTCATTAGTGTGGGTGTGAAGCGTCATTTTCCAGTCGCGACGAAATTGCGTAGAATTCGCCCAAGACTCAACAGTCAACATGGCAGCGTGCGTCCCGAGTCAACTTGTACTGCGGTGTCGCGAATGGGAAGTGACATTCCATACTCCATTGGTGAAGTGGCACTGGGTCAGGCGAATGTGATCCAACCCCTTTCCACCAATAACGCTTCCTCGCCTCCTTTTGGCCAACGCATGCGCTGCTTCAATTGAGAGGGACGCTGGTTATCCTTTACTGCTTCACTTTTCGAAATCTGAAGAGGATTTCGCCATTTGAGGTAGACCCAGCTGGGAATCTGTTGCTGTCGGGAGATTAAACTCCTAAACACCAATAGCCATGTTTCAGGGCTTGAAAATCGTCAAAGACAAGCTGTAAAGTTCACCTCCGAGAAAGGAACTTGCCATGTGCGAGAACGGGTTGGCAGTTGTACAAGGAACTACCGTATCTACTATCGTCATTTGAGAGCGCGCAGAAATTGGCTGAGGACTGATGGCACCGGGGTGCCTTTTTGCCCTCGCGTCGATACAAGGAAACGCAACGAAGGCGCATTGAAGGTAGAGAACAACCACAAAGGAAAGGGTGCAAAATTTTATCTATTGTTAGGCCGTGTTGCAGCCCGAGTGAGATTCAGAAACGGCCCTCAGGTCTGGCTGCCCTGCAACACCATACCCTTGCACTTTGTAGTGAAGGAAATCGCACGCTACTAGAATGTGCCATGTGGGAGTGAGCGGCGCGAACCGTTCACTCCCACATGACAAGGACCAGGATCCACATAACTACCAGCACACACCGAATTTTCAATAGAATATCAATCTAACTACCCCCAAAAATGCGCAATGAAAACCCCACCGAAAAAACTGTTTGGCACAAAAAGGAACTACTGACCACGATTCTGGTTCTCGAAGTTAAACTACCCATGAGAAGAAACTTCAAGCGAATTTGAAGGTTCAGTGACACATACAGCCGAGAGCGGTAGGCGAAACTAGTAACAAGTGTGCTAAAAGTGAAGCTGCAAAGGGGTAGATGATGTCAAGAAGGTCGCGTCGCCTCTAGGAGATTGAAAAAAAGGAGCAGGTATCATAAATTTCCAACTCACCAGCGGTATTCTTTGTCTCGAGGAACGGCATACCCCGGCGAGCTGAATATGTGGATTATAAGCAGCTTTCTTGAAGTAATTATCACTTTATGATCCTATTCTTACTTTAAGCTAGAGATCACGGGAATGTCGACAAGACAAAATGTAATATTTAAACTTATATTTTTGATTAATGTCAAAAGAACATTGTGGAAAAGGTTACACAAAACTTCTATTGCAGATTAGCATCGTGGTGGCACGAGGTCGGTGTGACCTACCGGTTCGACCCACCAATCGAATTCGATTGGACCCGACGCGCACTATATAAGGGGGGCCGCCAACACACCACCGCATTTCTAACATTTCGAGTTTTGGTTTCTAATCCTCTACTGTTTCTTTTCCTTATGATCTCTGTTACTAACCCGGTTTCCCTTTTTTGACATTCGTTTGATTACCAGTTTGAGGTCGCTCTGTGTTCGAGTAACTACATAAAAGTTGTTGTCTTATTCGTGGCGAGTATCTATCATTGAACTACACGTCACGGAGTCAAATATGTGCTGAGTGCAGAGAAGGAACAGTTTCAACGGGATGCCCGTTCTCTGTATCTTGCTTGTCCATTACTCTATTACCCTCAATTACCCTTTTATTATCCTTTTTCTCTCACAGAACCGCCACACAAGAATATTAGGCGCGGAAGCGGATAACGACTGATGGCGCCATTCATCACGGAAAAGGGCGGAGATGAAATTGCTGTGCAACTGTCGCCCAGGTCAGCTGAGACTTCCAAGCCTCCAGGTCTATTGACTTAATTCGAGAGGGGGATTGAAACACCGGCTTAAGTTAAGGCTGGATCCTACATCCAGCCTTAACTGGAGCCTGAGTCTCACTACACCTAAACCGCATATTCCCGATGGAGATATGACGAGGCGGTGGTTCATTCTCCAATCAATGAAAACCATCCATTTCTAAGCATCCCTTTTAGATGGCATTTTGAAGGAGCTGTAGAGAAGATCGGCTCAAGAACTGATCAATAAACGCTATCCATTCCGACATCCAGTGAGCCAACATTTGAAAGCCCCTCCTTTCGCGATGTCGAGGGATGAGAAGCCCGGGCAGGGGTGCCCACTGACTCCCAGGGACGCCAACCGACCGCTTAACTGAATTAGTTCCAACCTTCGTACTGAAATATCAGCCCTCGGATGATTGAATCGGATTGGTATTTGGAAGTATAGTCACTGCTACAACTACCTTTCACTGTTTGTAACAGCTTTCTCCGCCTCTTTCTTCGCCTCCTTTGCATCTTAGAATGGGTCTTACCAAGTGTGTTCCCCATCCAGTTTGTTTTCATCAGAAAGAATCCGTCAAGGTGCTAACATACTTCATACAACGGATACGCCCATCTTTTATGGATTCATCTACGACCGATTTTGTGCCCTGGATATTCCATGCGACATCATCATCCAGCTTAACAACTGCTTGCACTGTCGGACAAACGGCGGCAACGTATCTCAGGGCGGCGATATTCTGCAATGTTAAACAAGCATTAGAACGATGTTAAAGTGTAATATTGTCACACGATAAATACAAAGTAACGTGCGTGCTAAATTACCATAGAAAACCACTTGACTGAGAACTGCTTTTCAGCAGCAGCTTTCAACGAAATGTTGTTACGTAATCGCTATTTGCATTTTCAGATTTTCCGCGCAGTCGCGAGGTCGTGAGAGCAGCTCCACAAAGCGAGCAGGCAGTCTTCCACTGCGGCGCGAAAGTAGTTCTGGGAGTTTCGTAACAAAATGTTCGCACATTCAGTGGGAGAGTTTTGACTGAGCCGTTGTATGGATAAGGCTCTTCCCCTCTGAAAAAAAATTCACGCAGAGTGCTGCCGACAGCTCCGAACTCCTGAAACCAGACAGAATAATCGTTCAAATTCAGCTGGGGGCTGTTTTATCGCCTGCCGGTAACACTGACAAAATGAGGTTGGCTACCTTGGCTTGGATGCTCTAGTACCCTCCACTTCCAGGTGAACTGAAACTCGCTAGAACTTTGGCGGCGTGAAAGCAAACTATGATTTGGTTCACAAAACTGTGCTATTCAACAGCACGCTCCACAAGTGAGCTTATGCTTCATTTTGGGTGTCTTCTTTGATAATAAATTAGCGGGAAACTTATTGCGCAATGAACCTCTGAGGCTGGTCTGTTCATGAAGACTCTACCTTTTGTAGGCTACTTGGGATTATACGCACGTCACATTGCTCATTTGACGATCGAACTGATTCCACGTTGTACAGGTTCTCGTCGAAGAAGACATCATCTTGATAGCAAGTTAGCGTAAAACGTTCGAAGATCATCTTGTAGAGCTTCGATTTTGCGTCTTTGGCAGCCATAAGGCCTCAACTCCTGTTTGCCATCGACCATACAACCGGATGAGATACTGCTTATCACTAGTTTCTACAGGCAACTACTTTCTTTGACGACCTGCCCCACATGATACCCGAGCCATGTTATTTTTTTCCGGGTGTGGAGGCTCTTGTGAATGCTTTTCTGGATTGAGGCATTTTGTTTAGCCTAAATACTTCTGTAGTTGGTTGCTCCCTACTCAATAGTCCTTAGTGTTACACATTATTGCTTTCTGAAAGCGTCCACGCTATAATCTTCGCAATGCATGCGGTTTTTCATCCAACCATTTTCGGGCGGGCAGCGGGAGGAAGGGAAGGGGAGGGGTATGCAGCCAATGTGAAACGAGAAAACTCAAAGTCAACAACCGGGAAAATTTTTTTCCCAAAGCGGCAAGTTTCTCTCAAGGCACACACGATCTCCTTCCCTCTATCAACAGCCACCAAATAGACCTTTTTCCCAGGGCACGCCATCGCGTTGTGATCATTTTCCGCTAAATACGACCCCCCCCCAAATAAGGGTCTTAATACGACCCCCCTGTCACGAGGGTAGAAACGAAAAGAAGCGCAAAAGGGATGAAGAAAATGACAATAAAGAGAACTAGGCACTATTGAACTATTCCTACCCCAAGAACTCAAAAAAAATTTCGCTGAAACTTTGTCTATAGATGTTATTCGATGTCCGGTGTCCTGACCACGAGTATGACATCATTTCTCCATTCTCCATACCAGCGCTATTTAGCGCTCTGCTGAGGTTGAAACTGGGAAAAGGGAAGATTCCTCTCAGGCCAGGCTCAGTCTTAGCAAAGCGCAGATTACCATAGTGTCGTACATTAACGCCGGCGCCAAGAATAAATGTCATATTCCGTAGTCAGGATGTCAAATAACCCCGCCCCCCCCCCTATACAAGTTTTAGTCGATTTTGGTGATATAGGGTGTTTTGGCCCAAGATAACCCTAAAATCATCAAAATCGAGTGTTGAGTTCTGGCGCAAGCCGAGAAGGTGATTATTCGTGCGTCCAGTGAGCGTCGCAAGTACTACTCTAGCAACCTTTCAGCCCAGTCTGCCGGTTCAAATCTGTCGATAAAAAAGCAGCCTGATTCCGGCAGGCTGGGGTAGGAATAGCCTGATAGCGCCGAAAACCAGAACCAGAGCTGGGAAACTAATAAGAAAAACTAGAAAAGAAAATCAACAAAACACTAGAAACGAAAAACAATGCGAAGAAAACTCACCATGAGACATGGAAGCCAGGACTAGTAAATAGTATTGAAAATTGTGCGCGGCGATTCGGCACCTAAAATACAAGGAGATTGCGGAGCTACGCTGTTCTACGACCGGAGCCAGCTTTTCAAAGGCCAAAACACTCGAAAGTACCCTCACTTGAGCACCCATAACTTCTTTGAAAGTAAAGCTTCCGGAGAAGTGAAAGAAGCACGAATGACACGAACTATGTTAGCACTGGTTATCTGATTTTAAGCGAAATTCAAAAAAATTCACTTTCAAAGAATTTTCTTCGTCCTTCCTGTGATCATGGGGGCGGGGGGGGTAAACCACAAGTGGCTACGCTTTGAACATCCATAGCAAGCTTCATACAGCGCCTTTCGTAAAAAAGACAGTGCCAGAAGCATGAAGCTTTCCACTTTCCAGCAAAAGTTTTATTTTTTCCCTAGGTCTTCGAAAAAATCCTCCGTTGCGATCACAGCGTAATCACTGCCCCATGAACACGAAAAATCGAACCGCGTCGGATGCCATAAAGCCTCCAGTTGGCTTAAAGACTTCGGTATGCTTCTAAAACGAATGTTCTTGCCAAGGATATCAGGAAATAGCTCATTGGGCGTCAATTAGCATGGCCTTCTGCAGTGCGCCAATGCAATAGCTTCACGCAGATGTGTTGGAAGGGGCAATTTCTAGAAAGGGCTTCCTCCGTAAGTAGATGTGCTTCTGCGATAGGGAGGTCCGGAAGTGTATTTCCATTTGTTTATTAATTCATTTCGGATATTCGTTGGCGCGGAGGTGGTGTAGCGACAAGTGGCGCGCTTAGGCCGCGTTCATAGCTTGCGTTCGTGAAGAAATCCAGAAATGCGCGAAGGCAGACAAGTCGAAAGTGAGACGGAATCATGCAGAAGATGCCCGAAAGTGAAGGAAGTGCGGAATCGCGGAATGCCGTAAATGCAGGAATGATCAAAAAGAACCGATACGTATCGATTTTCCGCACTTTCGGCATTTCTGCACTTTCCGCACGTCTGCAGTTTCGGCATTTCTGCATTTCTTCAAGTCGATAACGTATCTATTGCTTTTCTGCAGATTCCGCACTTCTGCATTTTCCGCATTTCTGCATTTCTTCACGAACGCAAGCTATGAACGCGGCCTTACTACTCGATGGCCGGTTCAAATCTCGCGCCGATTCCCGCCAGGCCAACGGCCTTCTATCCTCCATTGGTAACCAGATTCGTCTGGGAGGATAAAACACTGACTTGTACATCGGCTGGCCTTCCGCAAGTCATTGTATAGGCCACATCGCATTCAATAAGCCACTGCGATTATGAATGGAAGTAGAATGCCTACAGCATCCCACAAAGGGGTTGAACGCGGAGACTTTCCCTTTTATCCTTTTGGGCGGCAATCGTATTTCCTGTCATCGCCCTTTTGCGCTGGTAGGTGCTGGTGCTTCTGCGCTGGTAGGTGCTTCTGTGTTGTATGCGTCTCTCCAGGGGTTTTTCACATGGATCAGTCTTTCATCATTGGAGCTCAACCACATCCGGGTATCGCTGCACCCTCATTTCACGAAGTACCCGGATGATCACACGGGGTGGGTCTGCCCAACCCACTCCCCAGAACAAGTGCGACCCCTACCATCCCCCCCAATGTGATTCACACCAATGTGCTGACCCTGCTTGTTATACCATCCTTGCTGGTTATATCTTGCATGCAACAATTTTCAAGACAGATTGACAAACAAGAATGACATTGTTTGGATCTAATCCTGCACTTTCGAATCAATTGAATCCAATTGCATGCATACGCCTACGATCTTTGAATGGTCACGCTCATTAACCAAAAAATACTGAAATATGCCACAAATATAATGCAAGCCGCTCTTTTTCTATTTTTTGCGCGCAAATTCCATGCCATTTTATTTCGTACGTGTTTTTTCAGTGCCGTCGTTTTCACATCCGCTCTTCACTTATCGGATGAATTCATCAACACCATACACACGCTGACCCATGATGGGAAGCTTGAGCACTTCTGTCACTTTTAAGGGAATTTCAACTTTCTTACAAAAATTTCATTTCACCTTCTATGGCCGCAAAAGAAGGCTCTGTCCTTCGAGGGAAGCTCCTTTTACCTCGCAGAAGTCCCGCCTGCTATTGAAGAGTGCTCTAGATTAACAGGCCAGAGTCTCGCAACCACTCGGAACAAAGCCTGGCTGGTTTTTTGTTTCGAGTGACAAGTGAGACTTTGATAACGAACTGAGACGTCAGCCTGTAAATTTGAATTATTTTTCGAAAGTCGAGGATTCTGTGAAGTGGGCGGGACACAGAAATGACGACTTGAAAAATTATAAAATCCCAAAATTCGCCATAAATTCCTTCAAATATGCCCGGAGTTTATGTGTCGATTTTCTATCCTGCTCGTTGGTGCATGTGCGCGAAATAGCAAAAGCTCAGAATAGAGAGGAAAAATTACTGAGGCAGGAATTACAAGATAAATTTTGAAAAATCATGACCGCGTGGAAAAAGAAACTGGCCATTGGTGCGAGGCTTGCAGCGGTCTCTAGTGTGGTCTGGCTAATTAACTGTCCGTTGTAAAGAGTGTGTTGGATCTGATTTGAAACGTGTTGGATTTGGTTCGGAAATCAATTGGATGAATTCTAATCTACCCTTCAAGAAGAAAAGAAAAACGGCCAGGTTAGGGGCTCTTGAAGAGTCTAAGTGAATGAGTGAATGTTAATGTTGTGTAAAAAAGATCCCGTTAGATTTCACAGGGAATTCACGAGAGGATTAGTATTATGAGAGCGATTCTCGGTGAATTGTGGGTACTAGGAATGATGCTGTGAACTACAGGAAACCGTTTGATTTGACGACAAGTCTTGTGAATGGCAAAGCAACTCCAAAATCGCCGTGCTATACGTCCCACGGCTCGCCGCGCGCGACGCAGGCCTCATCCATCCGCACCACGATAGAATCGCTCGCTTCCCAGTTTGGAAAGTGCTGCGCTTGG